TCTTTTAATCGTTCTGCTAAATTGCCATCATGTTCTTGCAAACCCCATAGTGTGTCAGTGCAGCTGCCTCCTCCCGCCTGCCTCCCCGTGTTCGTGCATGTGAGTGAGGGGGAACATCAGGAACATGCTCAGATCTGAGGGCTGCCGCAGCGTTAGAGGGAAAATTATTTTGACAAGTGACTTTTTAAATCTTCCCTATTCCAAAGAAAGCAGCCCTATTAGTTACATCTATAAACCATACTTTCACCTGGTTTTCCTTCTCCAGCAAACACTGCCTGCTCGATCTAGACACTAAATTTTTCTTCATGAAAATATCACATCTGATCTGTCAGGGCTTGGGACCCACTACCCGAGAGGGCACGTCTCTTATGATGTGCTAGCACTGTAGTTGCAATCAGCTAGCAGTCACTGGCTTAAACAGAGATATTCTCAGTAACAGAACATTTTTGTCCGCTTTATCCAACCCACTATGGAGTTGATAGTCATCGGGATACAACACAAAAATATATTCCTTTTCAGGCTTTTTCTGCAGGGTCAGTTAGTCAGAATATAAGTGGACTGGAAAGCTGTGATCCTATTTATGGCAAGAGATAACATTTCAGGATGAAAAGGATTAATACTTTTAAATAAATTGTCTATTTGCCTCTTCATGGGCCTAAAGCATATCCATTATTGTCCAAACTAGGATATAACAGACAAAGCCACCTTCTAACGTCATGGTGGAGATCAGCTTAATCCTTTGTCTGTTCCCTCCCCCAGCTCAAACTCTCATCTTCGTCCTAATTATAATAGCATTTGAAATTATCATGGTTTAAAAAAAGATGCCAGCTTATATAATATTCTTATTGCTTATTAATGATTTCAGAAGGGAGAGCAAGTTGCCTTGCATTCTGGGAATTATGCAAACTAAGGCTGAGCCATACCTTGCTGGGCTCCACCAGTTTCTTATTTGGAAGCCTGATGCGTGAGGATTACCATGTAATAACAGATGTTAAGGCTTTTAGTGAATGACAGGCCCACCGCACATACTTGAACAAGAAGACATGACAGGCATCACATTTCACAGTGATTAGCCTTGGGCATTTTTCAGAGGCAGAAGACTCGAGGCGAAGTGACTTTAACCACCCTGCAAGTGCGATAATCCCCAAGACGGCACAGCCTGAAGAGTTTGATTGCTTTTTGGCATGGCAGCTTATGAATAATAATAAAGAAAACATCAGACTGGATATTGGTGACACGGTTATACAGCACTGACAGCCAGAAAGACAGTCTGCTTGGATATGAAGTCCTTAAGTCCATTACTTAATCTAAAGTTACTTACCCCCTGTCCTCTAAACATCACCTCCTCTGTAACGCTATAATGCATTAAAGACACTAAAGAATTGAACTTGAGATTTAGTATGTGTCCTTCAATTTTCTGTGTTTGTCACTGTGATATCTTTCTGTTGGAGAATACAGGGTAGAGTAGGAGGGAACGTGAATGGGAGCAGAAGCTCTATATCCATATTATAAACTGTCGCAGTTTTATTGGAAAATGAGCTGCAATATAAGGTGACACCATCAGTCTCTGATACTAAGAGACTATGAAAAGACTAATGGAGTTGCTTGCCCCCGCGCCTACCCAGAAACACCTGCACTCTGCAAGTCCCAAAAATAAAAGTATGCATAATTTAAGTAAATTAATTAAATAAAATTATTTTAAAATTATTTTGTTAACGTCTGCGATCTGACTCACAGATGTTGGTCTTACAATACTGGGTAACATTATAATAATGGAGAGTATATATGCTTTTCAAGCGATGGGTTTATCTATGTAGGAACATACATAAAAATGCTGAGAGCTAAAGTTGAATTTGTGTTTCAGAGGAATCTAATAAACACTCAAAATCATCATCTTACACTTTTTAAAAATCCTAAATCTTACAAAAAAGAACTTCATAATTATTGCTTAAATAGCTGTCCCTCTGTGTGCCACTAACAAAGCTGAGGGAGTTTTGTTTTGGCCAAGTGGTTGGGGTAGAGACAGGGAAGGAGAAGAGGTGGAACAAGTTAAAAGAATCAATCCATCTCCTGGAGACAAACCATCACATGTAGAGAATTTCCCCTGACAGCATATTTAGAAATAAATGGGGATGTCATGCAGACAGTGCTGGACATTGAGTTACGATGCTGGGAGTACCATGTCCTTTGCTAGCCCTGCTATTTCATCAGCAGTGCCCCACCCTGTTATATACCCCAAGAAGTCCCTTAGGTGCCCATTATGGTATCAATGAAGAGAAGCCATGCTGTGCAAAAACCCTGGCTCCTGTGACACTACAGGATGAAAACCTTGCTACCTCTATGCACCCTACACAGAGGTAAAAAAAAAACCCACACTTAACCGTTTCCAGCTTAGTTTCTTGACCCATAAGCAGGTACTAGTTTTAAGCTATGCACAGTCCATGAGATCAATTCTTGATGCGTTTCACATTCATCTCTACACTGTCTTGTACCTTGCTGGCTGGAAGAGTGGTACTTGGCCTGGCACAGAGACACAGGCAGCCTGGGGCGCTGACATACAACAGGCATATGCTGAAATGTGGGGAAAAGTGAGCTCCCTTAGGAAAGATGGAAAATGAAACCAGATGCCACTAGTACTGAGAGAAAGAAGAAACCAGATCTGATCCTTTAGATGACTTGATGGAAGCTGCTCATGTTCAGAGGCAGTAGGACCAAATTCAGCTCTAATTAAGTCACTAATGTTACAGCAGGATAAACATGATCTTTTAAGCATCACAGGTATGAAACAGGGAAAG